TTCTATGTGCAACATTACCAGATTTCTTCCTTATAAGTGGGTTTCTAGTTTTGCTCAGTGGATAGTGCAGACTGAAGGGTCCCAGGTTTGGTTCCAAAGTAGGACACAGACACACACCTTGTTGCAGGCTTGATCCCCAGCCCTTGTCGGGGCGCATGCAGGAGGCAACCAATCTATGTGTCTCTCTCACATCATGTTTCTCTCACTCTGTCTCTGCCCCCTCCCATCCACTTTCTAAAAAAAAACCCACAAGAATTCTAGGTAAATGGATAATAGAGTCTTATTTTTATTTTTTTAATTTTAATTTTTATTGATTAAGGTATTACATATGTCTGTTAATAGAGTCTTTATGGTTTGCATTTAATTGCTTGGTCAAGGTCTAGACCAGCTGTGGGCAAACTACGGTCCGCGGGCCGGATCCGGCCCGTTTGAAATGAATAAAACTAAAAAAAAAAAAAAAAAAGACCGTACCCTTTTATGTAATGATGTTTACTTTGAATTTATATTAGTTCACACAAACACTCCATCCACGCTTTTGTTCTGGCCCCCCGGTCCAGTTTAAGAACCCATTGTGGCCCTCGAGTCAAAAAGTTTGCCCACCCCTGGTCTAGACTCATGCCGAGTAGCAAAATATGTCTGAGATTTGAATGATCTGATATATCAGAAAAGATCCCAATTGAAATGAGTATTTTCTGAAGACTTTAAAAACCACTCCACAGCCTGCCCAGTGTGGCTCAGTGATTGAGCATAGACCTATGAACCAGGAGGTCATGGTTCTATCCCAGTCAGGGCACATGCCCAGGTTGCAGGCTCGATCTCCAGTGAGCTCGATCCCCAGTCGGCTCGATCCCCAGCGTGGGGCATGCAGAAGGCAGCAGATCAATGATTCTCATCATTGATGTTCTCTCTCTCTCTCTCTCTCTCTCTTCCTCACTGAAATCAATAAAAATATATTTTAAAAAATAAAAACCACTCCACAAAACAGAGAACTGATGATCTTTTCTACTTCATACTAATCTTTTTCTTGCAGTAGTTCAGAAATCATGAATAGCTTCCCTTCATGTATTTGCTCCTGAGTATTCTCTTCTTGTGGAAGGATTTCAGTGTGCACAAAGGAAGTAACCTCCCTAGATGTTTTCACTTTCTTTTAAGATATTACCTTCCCTTGATTGTGAAGTTGAGGCTATGTCCTGTTCCTCTGGAATTGTCTCTCTGAGTGATTCTAGTTCTTCAGTTGACGCTTTATGCGGTTCTGTTAAGGACATTCTGTGCGATCCTCTGCGTGACCCTTTTGATGTTAGTGACTCTCTGGAAGGTGCTTCTTCTGCAGTTGACCCTCTTTGCAGTCCTGGTTCTGCTACTGACTCTCCGGGTGATTCATGTCTTTCAGCGAGCCATTTATATGGCTCTTCTACTGCTGACATTCTGCGTGATCCTCTGCGTGATCCTCTTCGTGTTATTGGCTCTTTAAGAGGTTCTTCATCAGTTGACCCTCTTTGTGATCCTGGTTCTGCTACTGACTCTCCGGGTGATTCTAGTCTTTCAGTGGGCAATTTATATGGTTCTATTACTGACATTCTGCGTGATCCTTTGCGTGATCCTCTTCGTGACTCTCTAAACCCTTCTTCTGCAGTTGCCCCTCTCTGTACTCCTTGTTCTGCTTCTGACTCTCTGCTGGATCCTTCTATTCCCGACTCTCTGAGTGATTCTTCTAATACAGTTGCCTCTCTCGGTACTCCTTGTTCTGCTGCTGGCTCTCTGCTTGGCTCTTCTTTTGACCCTTTATGTGGTTCTTCTATTACTGACATTCTGCGTGATCCTCTGCGTGATCCTCGTTCTGCAGTTGAATCTTTTTGTGGTTCTTCTATTACTGACATTTTGCGTGACCCTCTGCGTGATCCTGGTCGCACTGCTGCCCCTTTCTGCTGTCCTTGTGCTGTTATTGACTCTGAGTTTAGACCTTCACTTAAAATTTTGTCTGGGTCTTGTCCTGCAATTGCTCCCCCCTGCTGTTCTGGTAGGCTCGGCAATAGTGTTGATTTTTTATGTTTATCATATTTATGTAGCTCTTCTGGTCTTTTGAGCAATTTACTTTGTCTTTTACTAGCATTTTTTTCAGACAGTGATGCATTCATCTCTAAGTACACATTGTCAAAGTCTTCATAAATGTGTTTCTGATTATCCATGTCTCCCCAGAACTCAGGCAACTCTATCTCTTCAAATTCAATGAGTGGCCCTAATGCAAAAGAACAAAGCATTTACCTAAACAATTGATCTTATAATACAGAATCAGAACTAGTAAGTTAATGCAAAAAAGCATTGAGCACAGTGATTATAATATAGGCCTATTACTTTAAATAAATATCAGTTACCTTTCCCTGCAACACAATAAAAACCAAAAAGGTATCCAATTGAACATAAAAGATGCTCACTACTATAAATTAGAAAGTATCCCTTCCTAAAAGTTGTGGTTTGAAAATGAACATGATTCCTCTTTTGCTAGTTGGGGGGTTGCTTAAACTGCCAAGACAAATACAACTTATTCTCTACTTTCAGTCCTCCCACAATGAGGCTAGCATGGAATGAGGAAGGGGACACATGTCCTCAAATGCCTTTTCAATATCTGCAATATCAAAATAAAAGCATGACAATTTTTCACTGTGCTATTTTTTCCAATATTCATTTTCTCTCCTTTCCTTTTTCTCTACCTTTCTTTCTTCCTTCCTTGATTCTTTTCCTCAACAACTTATGTGGACACTTGGCTCAGAATTCTAGGAAAAGATTGAACAGCATTCAGCAGAATCCCACTGTTAAAAAAGAACACCACACCAAAACAACATTGGTGACCTGGACTACAAAGAGTGGGACCATGCCAAAGATTGCCTCTCCCTTCTAAAACATTTAGTATTTAAGCTATAAAATTGTGACTCCCATGGGTTTAAGGGAATAGTCTATGTACATCATCCACAGATTTTTAAGTATCCAAGTAAGAAATTATCATACAGAAATAAGATACTGACATTCTTTGGAAAACCCATCCATTTAATGACTTTCTCTTTAAAAAATAAAAATAAAACTGCTACTCCTATTTGTTTTGGTTGGTAATATAAAAATTTCACTGTATATGTACAGTAAAGTTGTACAAGTAAAAATGCTTGAGAGAAGGGGACATTTTTCTTCAAAATCTTAGAATTCTAAATTGGACATTAAAACTGGAATTACCATTACCAACTAAATTTCTGCAACATTCAGATTGTCACTAAAACATTTCTTCATTTGAATACATTTAAAATTGAGTTCTGGATTGACAACTTTTAGTATTGCACTGTAGTGAAAAATACATCTAGTCGTGATAAAGAGTGAATTTTGTAGGGAAGAACAACTAGATATAGCTATCATGATCTAAGAGAGACATGTGAAGAAATTCCACAGGGATGGAATGGCCTTGTATTATCATACTAGAGGCCCAGTACACAGATTCGTGCACCGGTGGGGTCCCTAGGCCTGGCCTGCGGGAATTGGGCTGAAACAGACTCTCTGACATCCCCCGAGGGGTCCCGGATTACAAGAGGGCAGTTCTTGGGTGACACACCCTGGAATCGGGCTTCCTGCTCTCTGCCGAGAACCGGAGCTGCCAAGTCACCAAAGCTTAGCAGCTCCTGCATTGAGTCTGCCCCCTGGTGGTCATTGTGCATCATAGCTACCCGCCAGTTGGCCAATCATTCAGGCTTTTATATATATAGATTAGTGTACTTCATCATTTCAGTTTGAGCATACTCCCTCTGAGTGGCACTTACATTGTCTTGGGTTTCGGAGTAAACGTCTAAGCATTTTTGGACTTTGGTCATAGAACGTTTCCAGCAAGGCCAATGTCCTCTGCCGATCCAAAAACCCTACCTAAGCAGAAAGTTGGCAATTAGGTGTTATAAGAGATTTGAGATTTTTATGTAGACAGAATATGGCTTATTGAAACATTCATCACTACCATCACCACCATCGTCATATAAATAAAATCTGCAAAGTCAAAGTTGGGAAAGCTATACCTTACCTCTTTAGGCTTACACTCTATTTCCCATTTTGTGACGTGTCAAAATGCCTTTCACTTAACAGATGCTTAACAAATATTTGTTACTGACGTAATTGTTTAATCCAATGTACAATGTTCAATTCTCATCTAATCTGATCTAAGTATGATGCTTAGGACAATTAACTGCTCCCTACTTGTTCTTTTTTCACATTTTTATTTTGGGAAAAAGTTAATTACAGAAAAAATAAGAAAATGATAAAACTAACACTTTGTATTCCCTGCATCCAGAAATGATGATTGTTAACATTTTTTGTATGTACTTTAAAAATCTATAACTGAGCCTTGGCTGGTGTTGCTTAGTGGTTAAAGCATCGGCCTGCAGACCAAAGGGTTGCAGAGTCTATCCCTGGCCCCCAGAGCATATGCGGGAGGCAAACCAATCAATGTGTTTCTCTCACATCAATGTTTCTCTCCCTCATTCCCTTTTACTCTCTCTAAAAAACAATGGAAAAAATGTCCTTGGGGGAGGATAAACCAACCAAACAAACAAAAAAATATATATAATTGATATCATAGTACATGTATCCTTTTTTACATTAAAAAAATTTTTTTTTTTATAAAGAGTTAATTTGAGCCAAACTGATGACATGCTAGGAAACAAGATCTCAAATGCTCCCCCGCTTAAAAAAAACCTTTTTATAAGCATTTCAATTATCCTTAAAATTGCTCTTATTTACACAACATTGAGATCTGATTCATGTATATAAAGAAATATTGTTTTATTTCTTTTAACTGTATGGTATTCTGTAATATGAAAACCGCAATTTAAAAAAAATCCTTCTTTTGATGGGCATTTAGATTATTTCCAGTATTTTGATACCAAAAATAATGTGTATAATGGATGTCCTTATACACATCTCCTGTGTAAACATTTCCCTAGGGTAAATAAATAGAAAGACAATTAATGAATTGTATACTATGTGCATTATCTTTTCTTTTTACTTTTTATTTATTGATTTTAGAGAGAGAAAGGAAGTGGGAGAAGGGGGGAGAGAAAGAAACATTAATTTGTTGTTCCACTTATTTATGCCTTCATTGGCTGATTCTTATATGTGCCCTGACCAGGGATCAAACCCACACCCTTGGCATATCAGGACAATGCTCTAACTGGCCAGGGTGTCTTCTTGGAGGTACGCACAGAACTTTTACTGCCACCTTTGCACACCCACTCCCCTTCACACACAGGTATTTGGGAATACTCATCACCTTTCCTCTAGCCACAGGAGTGGGACTAACCTCCGGCCCACCTACCTAGACTCTTCTGCAGCACTTACCCTCCCTCTTTAGTATTATGTTAGATTCAGGACTTCTCCACGAAGCTTGCAGTCTCTGAGCTAAACCCGGGTAAAGAAGCATAAACCCTGCTGCTCTTAAATTTCTCCTCAACCTACTTAGGATTTCTGAGTGTCTATAATATTACCTTCAGTCCTGACTGGGGCTCGAGGGCGGGGGATCAGATACTAACTCTGACTTAGGGATCCAGAAAACCTCAAACCCCTAGTCACATCCCCTCTACTACCTCCTCCTTCCATCCGCTGGTCACAATTTCCCAGTGATAGAAAAAGTGCTTTGATGTCATATTTTGCATTCTTCCTTACTCTGACTCTTTCTTTTTTTCTTTCAGGAGCCCAGGATTTTCAAGTGAAAGTACAGGCTTTTGAACTCTTGTCTCAGCTATTGGTTAAAAATATTCAGAAACTGCTTTATTCTAAACTGTATCTATCTTACCTACAAGATCAGCACATAACTTCTCTTTGAATACTGGGAAGAAATGCAAGAGTTCATGTCTCTAAGTATGATCCTGCTATGTTTGTTATAGCACATGAATTGGTATTAAATTAGCCAACTATGAATAGTTGGTATCCAGGCATTTATTGGAGAGTAAAATCTTGACCTCCATGTCACCAATACTTATTATAAGTTCCGTTAAAAGAAGTAATATTCAACAGGACACATAGACATTTCAGATTTTATAAAATATACTAGAGGCTCAATGCATGAAATTCATGCAAGAGTAGGCCTTCCTTCCCCCTGCTACCAGCACCGGCTTCCCTCTGGCACACAGGACCTGGGCTTCCCTTGCAGCCCTGGCTTCATCCAGAAGGTTGTCTGGAAGGACATCTGGTCTAATTAGTATATTATACTTTTATTATTATAGATTAGTGGCCTGGTGCACAGATTCATGCACTCAGGGGGGTGGGGGGGCATCCCTTGACCTGCCTTGCACCCTCTCATAATCTGGGACCCCTTAGGGGATGTTGGACTGCTGATTTCGGCCCGATCCTTGCAGACCAGGCTGAGGAACCCCACTGGTACACAACTCCATGCATCGGGCCTCTAGTATGCATATAAGATCTTTGATTGATCTCTTCCCACCCTCCCACCTCCCCACTTCCCTCTGAGATTTATCAGTCTGTTCCATGTTTCCATGCCTGTGTGTTGAGCGTCTGCCCCCTGGTGGTCAGTGTGCATCATAGCTACCGGTTGAACAGTTGCTTAGGCTTTTATATATATAGATTTCTGCCCAACCCAGTATGGCTCAGTTGTTGAAGTCAACCCCAGAACCAAGAGGTCACCGGTTCGATTCCCGGTCAGGGTGTATGCCCAGTTGCAAGCTCAATCCCCAGTGTGGGGTGTGCAGGAGGCAGCCAATCAATGATTCTCTCTCATCATTGATGATGTTTCTATCTCTCTCTCCCTCTCCCTTCCTCTCTGAAATCAATAAAAATATATTTTAATATATATATATTCCTGACCTAAGCCAAATTAGCAGGGATCTGAGAACCTAGACTGCAATATATTGGCTCCTTCAAGACTTGCTTTTTCTGAATTGCAGTCAGGTGTGGTATCATTTACCTACATTTAAGAAATTTCCCCAAGAAAATCATTGTTTCATTTATTATATGTCTGGCATAATGGACCTTCACTTCAACACATAAAATCCCTTTGTGAGTACTTGTGGGAGGAACTGCTGACTTTGAACCCCAATTTTCTGTACTTCTTCTTAATATCAGTTTGCATTTATCTTAAACACGCCAATAGAATGTTTGCTCATGTTTCCCTTTTCACATTCACGGCTAGGAAGCTTAGATTCAAACTTGTAGGCAACCTAGAACAAATATTTATGCCAGTAAAATAGGCATTTGGGGCTTTATTCCTAGCTTCAGTTACTATCATCTCTCTTATTTCTTACTTCTTTCATCCTACTTTTAATATGTGTTCCTTGTTGCAATCTTTTCTGGAACATGGGGGTACAAAGTTCATAAACAAATATATATCAGTAAAATTTGTATCTATTCTGCAAATCCATTTGGTATCCTAGCACACCAGTATCCTCCCAAGTACCACTCTTAGAAATACTTTTTGATACAAACTTTTGTTTTAAAGAAGTAATATAATAAGATGTAGTAGACTCCCTATTCCCAGCAGCTTTTTTTTGATAAGAAGCCACCAGAAAAGAGAGCAAGCAAAAACAATCTGAAGCAACCATTCTTAAGAATGGGAAAGAGATTTAGAGATAAGTTATATGCTGGTACAAGTCTGTGGTGAGAAGTATACATAAATTGAAAATAGCATCTAGCAAATTTGAGAAAGTAACAGATGCTAAATCAGAGTTGAACCTGACAATAAAAATATGAGTTGTATTTTGTATGTCCTTTCCCCCCCTTAGTAATCCATTTTCATTGAGTACCATTCCACAGCAGATGGGAAATTAAAAATATCACCATTAACGACAAACTAAAAACTGGTCCTTTACAACAAATAGTTTAAGAAACATGGCTTTAAGGGTCTTACCCTACCTTCCCACAGTCACAGTGCAGGAAGAGTTCAACAAACATTTGCCTCCGCATATCCGTTCTTACGACCTCCCGGAATTCATCTGCACTGTGGCAAAGGTGCTTAAGGAGTTCTTCAAATATTTCACTTTTCAAGTCTGCAATGTGCGAAGAGACGTACTGCAGAGAGAAAGAGGAAAAGTGATCGATTTAAAACTGTGCTCTTTCCTTGGGTTTTTCTTAGGATTCAGTTGAAGTGCATGAAATTAATGGCTGCCATTTCCCCCATCTCATTTGCTTGTCATTTAGATAAAGCATTTCATGTTAATGCTAGTCTACAGGCTGTGCAGCAGAGTGAGCTGACCAATACAGTCCCCAACACCACACACCCGTGGGACTAGATATTTTGGAAGCAATTTCCCTTTAGCTCACATCAGCACTATATAGGACACAATATTTACCTTACTGTTTGAAATAGCAGCAGTCATAGAATGTTGCCTGTAAATTACTAGCTCTAAAATTTGAATGCAGCTTTTCTTTTGTGTATGGCATATAAAAGTGTCTGTTTTCCAAGACTGACTACATTTAATTATTAGAGTGTAAGGGATGGGGATTGTAGGTGGGGTGTTTGTTTTGTTTTGTTTTGTTTTGATATTGCAATAAGGTATTCTTTGTCTATGATTTTCTTGGTTTTTTTTGAAAGTGTAGAGTCTGAAACATCTATGATACTGGGCCATTTAAAAAAATATATATAAATTTCCAGTCCAGGGACAAATGCCCCTTTCTTATCATGTTCAATTTAAGCACTAAATTCTTAGCAAGATGGAAAATGATGCAGATATAAAAGTTGAAGGATCAATAAATAAAATATGAAGGATCGATATTTGGTGTTCGGGTAACCAGTCCATGGTTGACTTGTTTTGAGATTATATAGACCCAGCTTAAATGTAGTGGGCACATTGTTTTATCTTGAGGAATCCACATTTCTACCACCACTATTCCAAACTCATATGATCTTGAGCCATTTTCCTTTGTTCATAATAGTTATTTATTTTATTATTAAATTTCTGGGTTGTCATTGGTTAATAGGATCATGTAGGTTTCAGGTGTGGATTTCTATGTTAAAAAATCTGTATATTACACCACGTGCCCACCACCCAAAGTCAAATCATCTTGCATCACCATCTATTAGGCCCCTTTCACCCCACCGCCACCCTCTTCCCTCTGGCAACCACCACCCCGCTGTGTGTGTCCACATATGAATGAAATCATACGGTTCTTAGCTTTTTCTGCCTGACTTATTTCACTTAACAAACACTCTCAAGGTCCATCCATGTGGTTGCAAATGGCACTATTTTGTCTTTTCTTATGGCTGAGTAATATTCCATTGTGTATATGTACCACATCTGCTTTATTTAATCTTCTATTGAAGGACATCTTGGTTGTCTCCATGTCTTGGCCACAATGAATAATGTTGCAATGAACATAGGGGTGCATAGATCTTTTTGAGTACATGCTTTCGAGTTCTTTGGGTATATACCCAGGAGAGGGATTGCTGGGTCAAATGGTAGCTCTAATTTTTGAGGAATTGCCAGACTACTTTTCCACGGTGGCTGTACCAGTCTACATTCCCACTAGCAGTTCCCTTTTCTCTACAGCCTTTCAACACTTGTTATTACTTGTCTTGTTGATAATAACTATTCCAACAGGTATGAGGTGGTATCTCGCTGTAGTTTTGAATTGTATTTCCCAAATTGCTAGTGAGGTTGAACATCTTTTCATATATCTGCTGGCTGTTTGTGTGTCTTCTTGGGAGAGATGCCCAGGTCCTCTGCCCCGGGCCATTTTTCTTAATGCCTGTTGAATAGATTCCTGGAAGTGGGATTGCTAACTTAGAAGGTAAATGCATCTGTATTTTTGGTAGGTTTTCATGTTGGTCAGGCTTGTAACTACCCTTTTGTGCTCCCACCACGAACATATGAGTGACTATTTCTCCTCAGCCTCACCATTGGTGTGTATTGCCTTCCAGATCTTTGCTAATTTGATGGGTCAAGAACATTACACTCTTGATCTACACCTGAGTGTAATATCTCGTGATAGAGAGAAATGGATTAAGCACTGGAAGAGTTTCTGACTGGACTCCTCTTGAAGTTTTAGCCCAATTCACAGTCAGTGATTCCCTCCTCTGACCCAAGCACAACAGTAATCAAATTTGTACTGGTAGCCAAGTTTGTACCAAATTATCCTACTTCCTTAGCCATACATGATTGGACCAGGGGAGGATACTTCAGCGAAACAAAGCCATTCAGTTTCTGGAATTTGGAGTGGGGAATGGCCAGTTGGTCTCTGAGAGAGGTTGGATCTATAAATTAAACTTAAGAATTTGTAGATGGCCAGATTACTCCATGTGAACTAAAAACACCGAGGAAGTCTGTACACAGAGATGGGTAAATCAGAAAGCAGAGAGAAAAGTTTTCCAAGTCCCTGTTCTAGTCTCTTCATGAAGCCAGATCATATTCCTGCCCTCAGATTCTGCACATTTCATTTCCAGCTAAATTAGCTCAGGTTGGTTTCTGTTTCATGCAATTAAAGAATAGTAAGTAATACAGTTTGTTTAAATGAAACATTATGCTGATATATTTCCCTGACAATTTTTGAAATGAAGGGAATAGCTGATATTTTACTTCCTCAGTAATATTATCAGGCAAATTTAGAATGCATTATGTAAGAGGTACATAGGCTTTAATCTATGCTAATGAATCATAAACCATTATTCAACTGGCTTCGAGATTAAAAGAGGAAAATTTGAAGCAGAGCAAAATAGCTCTTCTAAATATTTAGTTTACTTAGCTGACCAAACCACCTAATTGTCATTATTGTTGATGGATCAGTGAGCACAGTTCAGGTCATCTGCTACCTTGGGAAGTAAGAATAGTAGTTAAGAACTCACATTTGGAGCCTATTTGGGTTCAAATCCCAGTTCCCATATTTACTGGCTGAGTAACCTTGGGTGAATCATTGAACTTCCCAGTTTCTTCATTTGTGAAATGGGTATTATAGTAGCTCTCTTACTGAGTCACAAAGAGGATGCTGGGTTTGCAGAGCTTAGGTATTTCATGTAATAGTTTTCTGTAGCCATTGCTCATATTTCCTTTTGAGCTAGGTTAAAAAAAATCGACCAAGAAAGTTTTCTTTATAGGATAAAAGTCTTTTTAGCTGACTTACATATTTAGAAGGAAAAACCCAATGAGATCAATGGCTCTTAAAGTGGGATCCCTTGACCACATCACCTGAGCGCTTGTTAGAAATGTGAATTTGGGGGCCCTACTCCGGCTTACTGAGTCAGAAACTACTGCAAACTATCAGCGGGGCAATTGCATGGCATAGTTTCTCCACTGGGTGGCACCTGTGCACAACATATTGCCTTTAAGCCTGCCATTTATTTCATTTTCTTCGTTTCACTGAACGAGTTCTGACAAAATAACCTTAAATCTTTTTAAAAGCAACTGTCCCTTAAAAAAAACCAATTGTCCCAAATATTACTTCTAGGTCATATCATATAAGATGGCTCAATAATTTATTGATTAGATAATCAAATATGTTCAATAAATATTTATATAGAAGAAATACTTTCTTGGTTTCTAGTTGAAGTAACAGCTCTTCTCTATAATTAAAGTACCTGAACATGTGCTGTTTTCATTTCAGGAAGAGAAGTTGGGCAATATCAGTAAAATTAATAGTAATAGCCCAACTCACCCATTCAAACAAAATTATATAGATAGATGAATAGATATCCACAAAGGAATTATGTAGAATGCTAATGAGTTTGTATCAAGTATTATTAGGTCCAGTCTAATTAGCATATTATGCTTTTATTATTATAGATAGAGCTGTTATCAAAAACAGTTTTAATATTGCCACAATTATTGTCAATTTTTTGTTCATTTACTTTATATTTCTAATGTATCCTATATAATAAAGAGCTAACATGCAAATGGTTGTCACACTCTCACGCCCTTGCACCCTCACGCCTCGTCCGGGGGACCTGAGGCTGTGCCCCCCGCCCTGGCGCTGGGACTGGGGGACCTGAGGTCACGCCCCCTGCCCTGCAGGGCTTGACAGGGTGGGGCTGGCTGGGTCTGGGTCTCACACAATTTCAAGGTGCATGCGGGTGGGCGGGGACTTGACTCTGGGTCCTGCGGCGTGCCCAGATTCTGACAGGAGGGAGATTTTCATTTACATTTTACTAATCTTCTTTCATTTCTGACACTTCTATTATAGAGAAAGGGCAAATAGCAATATTAAAATATTTCCTCTAATTCCCTTTTTTTTAAAAAAAAAACATGGAACACTTCAAGAATTTGTGTGTCATCCTTGCGCAGGGGCTATGCTAATCTCTGTATCATTCCAGTTTTAGTATATGTGCTGCCGAAATGAGCACTAATTAATTCCCTTTTAATGTGCATGAATTTCGTGCACAAGGCCACTAGTTTTTATATATTCTGCTAGAAGCCCGGTGCATAAAAATTCATGCACTTGTGGGGTCCCTCAGCCTGGCTTGTACCCTCTTGTAGTCTGGGAGCCCTCAGGGGATGTCCAACCGATGGCTCCCTGCAGGGAGTGGGCCTAAGCTGCAGTCTGGCCTCCCTCTGTGGGTCATCAGGGGACGGCTGCCAGCCCCGTCCTCCCCATTGCCCTTCTGCCACCACTGGTCACTGCCGCCCCTCCCCCATCACCGTCCCCTCCCTCTACCTGCTGGCACGTGCCTTGGCTGGCCTGGCGCCACCTGCTTGCCAGTCCCGCCCCCTGCCGACTGGTAGTTCCCCCATTCGGTTGATTTGCATATTATACTTTTATTAAATAGGATTATAATTTTCTATAAACTCATAAAGCTTTAAAGTGTCCTATCACCTTTATATTAATTTTACAATTTACAAATAGAAAGCTTTAACACTTACAAATATAAAAAAGTCTTGGTTCTACTAGATTATTTTTAATCTTGAAATCTGCTCAGTTTTGTTTATTTATTGCTTACTTTCATTATCAGATATTCTTTAAAAATTCTCTTAATTTCATCTTTTTTTTAAAGTTTTATTTTATTGTTTAAAGTATTATATATAGTATTACATATGTCTCCTTTTCCCCCCATTGACCTCCCCACAGCCACCCCCAACCCCTGACACATGCCCTCACCCCCTTAGTGTCCATGTCCATTGATTATGTTTATATGATCTCTTTTCCCCATCCCCCACTCCTCCCCTGCCTTCCCACTGAAGTTTGACAGTCTGTTCAATGTTTCTTTGTCTCTGTATCTATTTTTGTTCATCAGTTATAATATTCATTACATTCCACAAATGAATGAAGTCATGTGATATGCTGACTGGCTTATTTTGCTTAGTATAATGCTCTCCAGGTCCATCCATGCTGTTGCGAATGGTAAGAGTTCTTTCTTTTTTACAGCAGCGTAGTATTCCATCTTTTTGTCATTTTATATTAGTTGCTTTACTTATAAAGTACAAATAGCATTTTTTTCAATTATCAAAAAAATCACCAATTATAAGATAGACTATTGATTTAAGAACAGATTTGGGAGGTTGGAGAAGAGAGGAAAATATTATTTTATTAAATATCTACATTGATTATAAGATACACCTTTTAAAAAACTTTATTGGGGTATAGTTGACATATTAAAAGCTATACATATTCAATTCAAGTGTGTATATGTAAATATGTACAGCTTTTTACATGTCAATCATACCTCAAAATAAAGTGTTTTCCCCCTTATGGAAAATAAATATAAACCAAAATCATCATCACCAAGGCCATAGACATCCCCATCACCTGTTAGATGAATTTTGATTTTAGAAGTGCAAAAAGAAAAGTTATCTTAGAATTAAGTAAATATGAAATATGAAGAGGTCTCCAATAACATGGAAGAATCAGAGAAGTTACATTTTAACAGACATTGCTAAAGAAGACTTCCCTCTCTGCCAGTTGGGAAGACCAGGTGTTCATTTTTACCGCATTGCTCTGATAATAAGTAGTTCTCCTAATTTTAAAAAATGTGCCTGGCCCATAGGTAAGTTTTAGATCTCATTGTTATTTGTATAACCAGATTTCACTGAATACAAGAAGATGGTTTTTCTTTACCTTACCCAAAGGTGTCAATGGAATTTTTCACACTTTCACATCATGAATACCACTGGTTGAAAGAAATTGTAAGATGCCTTTGGTTATAAGACATAACCATAATTTCAGAGGCATTAAAATATTCAAAATGTGCATCTTAGAATCAATAAAACAAGTTATTATGTTTCCATTTAATTTAATTCTAAGTTTCACCAAAGCTGGCAAAATAATTTGAGTCAAATAATGAATACTATAATTTCTTACTTCTATAAATTCGATTTTGTTCAATCTTTGGTCCATTGAGTCAGCAATATCCAACTGTTTGAAAAGTGTTTCTATTATGGAATAAAGGTTATTTGCTAGTTAGTGTAGTTACAATACATTCATATGAATAAAAATTCATATCATAGTGCTTTAAAAGAAAAACATAAAAGTATTTCTTAATTAATGTTCATCAATATTTGCAATAAAGTAAAAGATATATAGTTGGGTAACATTCCAATTACTATAAAATTATTATTTTATTTAACCAAACAACCCCAAAACTGAACAGAATGTGCCTACCTTTTTAATGACCAGGTTGAAATAAAGCAGAAACAAATATGCACACTGATAGTATAAAAGACTACACATACACATATCTTTTGTTTTCTGTATATAAATATGATCATATTGATCTGCAACTTGCTTTTTTCACTTAACCACTTACCTTGCAAATCTTTTCAAATAGAATCTGGAACTCAGGGGGAAGGTTTGGGATGGAAACATGGATGAGAGTCATTAACAGAAGTCATGGGTTTGAATAAGAAAAGTGTGTATAATGTGTAAAGTGATACTAAAGTCAAAAAAGAAACTCTGGAAAACAACATTTAAAGCAAAGAAAAGAAGAACCAGAAACATCTGCTAAAGGGTGATCACAGATAGATGTAAAAATCAAGAGAGAATAATATCACAAAAGCAAAGAAAAAATTTTTCATGAATAACAGAGTGCTAAATAATGGTGAATGTAGCAGTTAGTTTGAATAAAGATTTTTTAAACTTCCATTTAATGTGACAGTTATGTGATCTTTATTGACCTTACCAAGACACAAAAGAGAAAATTGTGTGAAAGCTTAAGGTGAAAAAATTAATACCCTGGCTTCCTCTCCTACTTCTAACAGTAGTTCCTCCTGCTAATCATGGGCTGCTGCATAAAAATATTCTTTAGTCACTATTGATTGTTTAACTGCTTATTATAAGACTAGAGGCCCAGTGCATGAAATTCATACATGAGTAGGGTTCCTAGCAGCTGCCAGCTGCCAGCCGGGGCCTTCCTTCCTCAGCTGCCAGCTGCCTGACAAGGCCTTCTTTCATTCCGCACCACTCCCTGGTGGTCAGCACATGTCCTAGCAAGCGATCAAACTCCCGGTTGGTCAAACTCCCAAGGGGACACTTTGCATATTAGGCATATATATATATATATATATATATCAGTTATTATCATAAAAGGACTGTATATGCTTTAGTAAAGCTTATGCATTAAATGCTGCTATCTCCATCCCAGATCTTCCCACAAGCTCTGGAATATTACACAAGCCAGACAGGTTTCTACTAGTAACAGTTGTTATTAAGTATATGTGTCAGTCCCCTGGCTGGACTTTGAGCAATTTAAGGGCAGTGGGAACATATCTTAGTCCTCTTGGTATTCTCTACCCCACCATAGTATCTGGAACTAAGTGAGGAATCAGTAAATATTGAATGAATAAATGGCACAGAAAATTAATACTGTGTAGTGTAGGAGGTGAGAGAAGAAACCATCAATGCCAACTAGAGCGTTCTAAATTTCTCTAATTTTATCACAATCTCAAATACAGCTCTCTTAACTCGTTCCTTTTGTGCCCCTTCAAAAACCAACTAAATAAAACAAGTCATTTAAATTTTTTTTGAAAGGGGACTTGTGGTTGTGCTGACTGAATAATTATAGTTTTTGGATAGGATGAAAAGGTAGGAAGAGAAAAGGCTGTCAACAACGTCCAAATTATGTTTGGGGAACAGTGATTGGGAGGTTGTAAAGCATATTTTGTTTTTAAAAGTATGAACAGATGTCAGACAATCTATTGTTATCAATGTAATAAAGTGGTCAAAAATCAATCAATTGGCTAAAAATTATGTAAACTTCAGGACACAAACTCATATAAAGATACCTCTCTGAAAGCAAAAGCATCAAAATCCATAGGTGTAGCCCTAGCTGGTTTGGCTCAGTGGATAGAGTGTCGGCCTGCAGACTGAAGGGTCCTGGGTTCAAGGGCACATGTCTGGGTTGTGGGCTTGACCCCCAGTAGGGGGCGTGCAGGAGACAGCCAATCATTTATTCTCTCTTATCATTGATGTTTCTCTCTCCCTCTCCCTTCCTCTCTGAAATCAATAAAAAAAGATTTTTAAAAATTCCATAGGTATAATAGTCTCCTTCCTCCCCAGTGAGCATGGAGGAAATGTGTAGGTGAGTTTTTGTTGATACAATGATGAGGAGTAGGAATAGGGGCAGAACTCCTTCAATTCCTGCAAAGAAAAGACTCTCTCCCTCCTGCTAGAAATGCAAGTAGGTGAAAATTCTGCTTAGAATTATTTATAGTCTAGAACCTAACTCCATTTTACTGCATATAAACACAGAACAGATATTTGCTGTTGAATTTTTAAAGAATGTAACTACTGTGAAAATTTGAGAGAGGATTGCTAGTATACTGTGCTTCATTCTGGAATTTTGCCAAGAGCTATTCACTATTCAGAAAATTATGTAATGGGAGGTAATATCATACATTGTATCTGAATTCCAATATAACACACCTGTCAGTCTGCATTTTATAGCTCTCCCATTCTACTACCCATAGAATGTATACAAGTACATTCATTTAGCCCCTATTTCAAAATTTCAAATACAAAGAAATGGTTGATTGGATATAATTTTTACTTTTTGAGAGAGAATCATTGGCTGCCTTCTGCACGCCCAGTTGAGCCCACAACCCGGGCATGTGCCTGACCGGGAACCAACCTGTAACCTCCTGGTTCATAGGTCGACGCTTGCCACTGAGCAATGCTGGCCGGGCTACTTTTCTTACATGTAAACATTAATTATAAGGAGGTACAAATGTTACTACTCTGTTATATCTTATAATGAAGTTATAACCTAGCATTTATGTATTGAAATACAGTGCATATAATTTTTATATCTTTTATTTCTTTGTATCACATTTATGACATATCTTTTTAAAAAATTCTGTGTATGTAAGTAATGTTTTCTAGGAATTTGACAGGATAATTAAAGGGGTGTTACAGAATATTTGTAATAAAATGGGGCACTGGACTAAAAGAATTGAAAATCACTGATTGCTTCTCTGCTTTTCTCCATTCTCCATCAGGAAAGAGAAAAAAAGCCCTAGCCAATTTGGCTCAGTGGATAGAGCACCAGCCTGCAACTGAAGGGTCGCAGGTTTGATTCCAGTCAAGGGCACATACCTCGGTTGCAGGCTCCTTCCTGGCCTGGGCCCTGTTTGGGGCTTGTGCAGGAGGCAACCAATCGATGTGTTTCTCTCACATCGATATTTCTCTCTATCTTTCCCTCTCTCTTACACTCTCTCTAAAAATCAATGGAAAAATATCCTCAGGTGATATTTAAAAAAAAAAAATTTAAAGAGCAGAAAAAAGCTCAAATACTTCGGTAAGAGCTTTGAATAATATCCATCTCAATATTGACTCTTCATCTTAATTCAGCATCCCTTCCCTTCCCCCCAAAAAGAGGAAAAAACATAAATACTGTAGTAATTGGCATGCTTACCAAGCTTGAAATCTGGATTTTGAAAAAAATCATGAAGAGCATTCTGAATCTATAAATCAAAATGATCATGTATTACTTCTCAATTACCATATACTTAGTATTTTAGACTAAAGCCATCTGTAATTTTTCAGTTTACACCCAGGGACAGGAATAGTAATAATTAACACTTAGTTTATAGATATGTAAAATGAGTTCACATATATGTACTCAATGATTCCCATCCTTTTTGTGTAAAAACTAGGATGCTGAGGACGATCCCATTTTGCCCCTTCCAGGGCCATTTCTATCAACCCTTAGATATGGGGGATGATGGCGCTAAGGCACCTTTGGCAAACAATTTGGCAAAGAATCCTCTAAAATTTCTCATTCTTCAATTACACACAAAAAATTTCAGACTTCTTGGTCCATTTATTAAAAGTAGACTTTATTCTTTTTTCTCTTTTATTTATTTTTATTTCTTTAAATTAAATCTTTATTGTTCAGATTATTACAGTTGTTCCTCTTTTTTCCCACCATAGTTTCCCTCCACCCAGTTCCCCTCTCACCCTCCGCCCTCACCGCCCCCCACTGTCCTCATCCATAGGTGAACGATTTTTGTCCAGTCTCTTCCCCGACCTCCTACACCCCTTCCCCCCCAAGAATTGTCAGTCCACTCCCTTTCTATGCACCTGCTTCTA